GCTGAGCTGAACGGGCTCCATGCTTGGCGTGGTATGTTGTCTGCACAGGTAACCCAGGTAAAAAGGCGCGAATCTATTGTCTGCCGTTGCTCTGACGGAGGGGGAGGGGCCTGACGACATGTACCCAGAACCTCCCGCGACACTGTTTTGCATCATTCAGGCATTGGGATCTCAACCCAGAATTCCAATGGGCGGCGGAGACTGCGGGAACTGTGGGATAGCTACCCATAGTGCAATGCTCCGGAAGTCGACGCTAGCCTCGGTACTGTGGACGTGGTCCGCCGACTAGAGCACTTAGAGCATTTTATGTGGGGACACACAAAATTGGCTGTATACAACCGATTTCTATAAAACCGGCTTCTATTAATTCGACCTAATTTCGTAGTGTAGACATTCCCTTAGTATTGATACCTCCTTCTCAATTATTGGGAGTGGACCACATCCACCCTGACTGAACTGGCCTTGTTAACACTGAGTCTCAACTCCCTTCTCTTCATGTGTCAGTATATTTATGCCTGCATCTGTAATTTTCACTCCATGTATCTGAAGTGGGGGGTTTACCCACGAAAGCTTATGCCCAAATAAATCTGTTAGTCTTTAAGGTGTCACCGGACTCCTCATTGTTTTTAATCCTACTGTTTAAGACTAGAACTATTTATTTAAAAAGCAACCGGCATTGCATTATTGCCACACATTTAGACTAATTCTTTTCTCCAGAGAAATGACTGCTATGCAATTGTGGATCCACTAGATCTTTGAAGTAAACAGCTCTTCAGCTTTATAGATAGTTTCCATTTTCATCTATTCAAAGATTTTCTTTTTTTTAAATCTATCATGAGTGCAACATTAAAGTTGAGACCAATTACTTATCCTCTTTTTAAGGGGACAGAATTCACAAGTATTGACATTCAAATGATAATTGAGTTTCTGATATCTACTGCACTTCTGACCAGTTTAAGTGAAGAGAAAACTTAATTAAGGTTTGCACATAATTTAAATGTTTCATTAATTTAATTTAATTACATTCATGCAGATTTACATTTATCATATGGATCAATTTCAAATTGATATTTAGTTGCACCAATAGTGAATTATATACTGCACAAACCAGTAGCAGATACTGGTTTTGGCTTGGAGCTACTACCTACTTTGAATTGTACTACCCAAGCCAAACTTGAGAAACTAACAATATTCTTCTTGATGGCCTGATCTATAAGGTGAAACACATCTATTAAAGAAAATCAGAGACTAACAAATTTAAATACTGGGCTGACAGCAAACTAGTCCAATTTTCACACAGCACTTTGAGCAGCAATGCCTATAAAGAGACTAGGAATATGTTTCCAGGCAGCTTCACTCTTCACCCAGCACTACTCAAATGCTCAGGAGAGCAGTGATGATCTAGCTCTGGTGCATCTGCTGATCTAACTCAAGAAAAAGAATGAGGACTAAAAGGATAAAAGATATGCGGTAGCTCAAACAGAAGTTAGGACTTGTGACAGGAATCACACTGAAATTCTATGACTGGTGTTATTCAGGAGATCAGAATACATGATCATAATGGTCCCTTCTGGCGTTAGAATCTACGACTCTATGATTAGGACAGATAAACATAATGCAGAAGAGAAGACAAAGGCTGCTGCCAAGACATCAGGAAACCAAAGGAGAAGGCTGTTTGTGAAAACAGCACACTGCAAAACTTGCTCATTGTCACGACAACGGTAAGCAAGGATGGGCTAGTAAAAAAAAAAATCATGATAATTTTGGAAGATTGAGCAAAAGAAAAAGTGGATTTTATTCAACTGGAAGGAGAATTATACAAACAGCTTTAGTGGCAAATTATAATCTATTTCATGTTGTACAAATATCATCACCAGCATTCCAGAAGCTGTGACATGTGAGAAAGTGACTTGAAATAGCTAGGCTGGTTTAAAATTAGGCCTCCTCAAGCTCTTTCCTACTTCCCAAACAACAGATCACAAGCAAGTGTGGGAAAAGGATGAAAACTAAACAATGGTTTGACTATGTAGGAGTCTTCCAACCAGACTCCACAAAAGCGGTCAGGGCTACCATGCAACCAAAGATGTGGGAGCTTGGCAAGTCTTGTATATGTGCTCAGCTGGAAACATGAATCTGTGATTGAAAATCATATCCCTCTGATTCCATAATTACTTGTAGTGAACACTAGACCCTGTGCAGCCCCATTGAGTTGACTTGCTTTAAAAGCAAATTAGTCCGTAAAAAAAAAAAAAAATTCTGGGCAATCTATCTTCAGTTATATTCATCCAACGACACATTTAGATTTGAAATAGTGGCATTATTATTGTAGTGTTTCAGATTTACTTAACGTTATCAATTTTAACCAGGAGAATAATTTAAGTTTTCCAAAAAGACTAGTGTATTTATAGTCCATATTTCTGAATTAGAGCCATTCCACTTGATGTGATAAATTTTACCTTCTCTTTTGGGGTGGGAGAGTGCATGTTTCTCAGCATAAACCTTTTCCTTAATGATTTTTAATACATAATCGTTTTCTATTTCACTAGCATGCATAGTAGTACAACCTTTAAATGGAAAGGTCTAAAACAGTTAAGAACCATCAGGTTTTAGTACTGCATAAAATATTCAGGTGATCTCTGAATTTACTTTTATCTCTAAAACCTTACCCTGGGAGTGTTTTGGCTAAGTAAAGAAAAATACAAATGAGTTGGTAGGAAATCCAAATCAGTCATTACATAAAAAACTCTGAACAAAACTCTTGACTGCAAACTAGTATTCTGAGGGATTGCCACCCAGAAAAATCTCACATCTGAAGATACACAAGATGCATTCTGGAGCCAGATTCACACTATATCAACATCAAGCAGCATTAAACACTTAACTGGCTGAAAAAGCATTAAATTAATTCATCAAATAACAGACCCACTACTAAATAAAGAGCAACTAATAGGCACAATCCAATACCAATTCCCTCCATACCCCCAAAAATTTAATCCCAGTTTACCACATAATTCCCATAAAAAAATTTAAAAAAAGATTCCTCTAATGGAATTTGTTGCTATAAATACTGATCTTTCATAAAGAGCAGCAATTTCACAGAGCTAGTACCTTGTCCAGGTCTTGGAGTTGCAGATGCTCCAGCAGATGGCAGTTCAACCTCCTGTCAATTATAGTAATATTATAAAAGTGTAGCATCGAGAAAACATTTTATAATAAATTAGTATTGATACCAGATTCCTACCTTTGCCTTCTTAGAATCTGGATCAAACCTTTCAAGAATTAATTTAGCAGTCTTATAAGTTTCCTTTTCCATTACTTCTTCAAGCTAGAAACAAAGGTTTCACAGGTCAAGACAGACTTCTTAAAAAAAAAAAATTTTTTTTCAAATGTTTATTTTTCTGTTTACAAGCATCACATTAAAATTTGCAAAAGTGCAAAGCCTAGTCCAACCAAGCATTACTGTGCTCAACCACTTTGATTAACTGCATTCAAATTAAACAAAATCTAGTTTTAAAAAAATTGTTTCTAACTTCTAACTTGTACTCAACTGCTTTATTGCAAGGAAACACCAAATATTGTTAATTGTTTACATATAATGAGGAGAATAATTACATGCACCAACTTCAATAATGGAATGTGCAAAAATCTATCAGCTATCATTATTGGAAGTTATTAGACATGACAAGCAAATGACAGGCAATTCCTCAGATTTATTTCCTCATAGCACTTAATGCTATTAATTTAAAGAAGGTCGTTAGCCAAGTGCTTTACAGAATAAAGTCTCTGTGCCAATTAACTGCTGTCAGCATCGATTTTAGATTATTTATTAGCAGAAGCAATTAGCTTGCTGCAAATGCTGTGAACACTCACTAACTGGGAGAACAGCCATGGAATTTGCTCAAGTGACTTTAAAGGCTAAACTCCATCTTTACGGTTACATTCAAACTGCTTTTCAGAAACAACTGAACATGTTAAGAATTTAAATAAAAATTTACTGAGTATTATGCATACTTTAGGGAGCATAATTAAAACACTTCATTATTACAGCATTTTATTTACAATGCACTCAAGTGGCTTTATAGCTAATACATGGGCTTAATTAAAAAAGTAATCACTAGTAAAGTATCTTTTTAGCGGTTAATAGCCAACATCAGAGGAAGCTGAACTTTAGAACACAGATACACATAGTTATGACAAATGGCTAATATGTACAGTGAATATAAAGTATTTTACAGAGCCTCAGATGGACCTTATTCCTCAGATATTCCGGTATCAAATAATATTTTGTTTAGAGTACCATAGTTTCATATTATGTTTGGTTGCTGGTGTGAACAGTTGGTAACTTAAAAGGTCAGTGGCCACAAAAGTAAGTTCTGTCAAACAGTCATTTATCGCTGCTAAGAAATAAATTTACTGAGACATCAGGACCACTAGTTTGCAGAGGGTGGGATGTCTGCAATTTTCATTTCTCACCTGCAGATTAGTGATAATGGCTTACAACTATAATAGTGCCTTCTTATCCAGATAGATCCCAGAACATGTGTAAATAAAATTCACTTCATTCACAATGGAAATGCAGCATCTGTTTAACAGCTCACAGCAACACTCACAATGGTTTAAGACAGGAAATGAAATATTATCCAGATTGTACATTAAGCACAACTGAAACCACTAAATGATTAGGAAAGTAAAAAGCAATTCCCTAAACTGAAATTTGAGCAGGATATTGGGGTTAGCAAAAAGTGCAATGGAGCTTTAGTATGAGATCAGAAATAAGGATCTAGAATACACATCCCTCAATAACATTTCTAAGGAGAAGGAGAGTCCAGAAGGGAAATCTCAAAGTGGCTGAAAGATCTGGGAAAGGAAGCTTGGGAAGGAGCCAGTTATGGTGACATATCACGTTAGGAAGGCCAAACGAAGGAGTACCTTTGTCAACCTCTGGCTCCTCCCCCAACTCAGAAGCCCTGAAACTGGGCTAATTACTTATTCCTGTTCATGCTAATGGAGAGCCGTTAAAAAATGGGTGTCATGTTTTCATTGCTCTTTGGTAGCCACACAAGGGAAGAGGAAACTGAAGGCAAGTAGCCAGCACCACAAGAAGGCCTTTTTCATTTTCCTCCAGCAGATGACCTTAGGAGAGGCTCCACAATTACCAACAGGTAAGCAGCCTTGCTCCAAAGCATCTGCCTAGTAAAGTTTTTACATGGTTCCAGTAGACTACAAACCTGGAAGTCCACTTTCAGTGCAAGTCTGCAGTTAACAGAAGTCTGGATTAACAAGGCTCTATTGCAATCTTTTTATGGACCAAGAAGGATTCCCCATTCAAATGATCTGATGCTTTTTCCTTACTGACGGTTAATGACAATCTGCCAAATAAAATAAATTCTAGACCATTTTAAGATTAGACTCTCACTTAGTTATCCTGTGCATGATGTCTGAAATGTATTGTTTGCATAAATTGCATTGCAAGCCCCCTAGATATGAAGTGCAGTGCTAAATAGTGCTAAAATAAATGAAATATTGCAGAGGATCTTGCAAGAAGTCAATGAGAAGTAAATGTTATATATAAGGATATAAGGAAAATTTTGTTAGAGATCAAACCTAATAGCTTTTATTTCTTGATATCTCTATACACATTCCATTAGTAATTGCCCCAGATCCTAGCAGGACCCAGCATCATGAAAGGCAGCTGCTCTTCATCTTCAAGAGCACGCACATGTAATTCTATGTTCTCCACACCTCCCTTTCAATGTAACAAGACATCTTGGAGAAGCTACAATAGGTCACAGGTACTATTTTCAACAATATGGCTATGACATCCACTTCATCTCCTTTTCTGTTAGATGCAATCAATGGTGTCACCAAAAGATCAGTGTCTGCCAAAGATTAGCACATGGACAGACTGCACCTAACTCAAACTGACCCAGGCAAGAATTAAGCAATGGGTGAAGTGAAGCGAAGCACTTCAAAGAGCTAACCAAGACATTGACCTCTCTCCCCTAGAGCATCTTCACCTTCCATTCACCAAGGTAGTAGAGTCAGGCTCCTCCTGATCATCCACATGGCAACTCATTGGTGAGAAATCCCATTCACTGCCAGCTTTTCCTTTCTTATAAAAAATAAGACAAAGATATACTTCACATTTAGGCTAGAGTACTGTAATTAAATACATTTAGGACTAAAAGTGGAGACTACATGGAAAATCCGATTTGTACAAAATGCAGCAGCCCAACTTCTCAGTCACAAAAACCAGAGTCACACAATAAGTGAAATCTCGATGTACCTTGATACCACCCTACAAACAGGGGTTTTCAAACTATTTCATCATGATAAGCATATTTTAAAGAGATGGTCTCAAGGACCACAATGTCTCCTATTCATAATTGCATGGATGGTCTGCTCTCCAACTGGCAATCAACAGAATTCCTGTAGCAACTACATCAAAAGGATTATTATCAATGCATTTTAATCTTCTTTTAAATTTGATTTAGCAGCTGAAAATTTTGAGAACTAGCAGCACACCATGCCAACAGCTAACATTCCATTCCACCACAAATGGTCCAAGTAGTTCAGGTGGAGAACTAAAAGAATTGTATGTTCACCGAGCTGCAAGATTAATTCACATCTTTTATATAAAACGTAAGAGTTAATATAGCAATCCATTATTTAAAATAGGAACTAAAGTGCATACATTAGGCCACAACAGTCTGTACTCTGAGTAGATCATCATCTGAGTTAACAGTGTAGTGAACAAATCTAGCCTTTTTTTGTGGACTTTCCATCAACAAGCAGACAAAAATGCCTCCAATTTATTCATTTGGAATTCAAATGAATTTTTTTGTTAATTTTACTCTACAGATTAAATGTGAACACAGTTCACTATAAATTTAGTACTCTATGAAATGTATTGTCTAGGACTGTCTCACCCACGCTGCCTGTTCATGCTGTGTTGTCCATATCTACACTACCCGCCAGATTGGTGGGCAGCCATCAATCCAGTGGGGATCGATTTATCACGTCTAGTCGCGATAAATCGACCCCCGAGCCCTCTTCCGTCGACTCCTGTACACCAGCGCTGCGAGAGGCGCAAGCAGAGTCGACGGGGGAGCGGCAGCAGTCAACTCACCGCAGTGAAGACACCACGGTAAGTCGATCTAAGTATGTCGACTTCAGCTACGTTATTCACGTAGCTGAAGTTGCATAACTTAGATCGACACCTCTCCCTCCCCCAGTGTAGACTAGGGAAAAGATCCTGACCCTTAACGTGAGAGAGAAAAGCTTAACAGGCCATAGCCCGCAACTCCTGCACAGCTTTGGCAGTTTCATTTCCATATTTGGTTGAATTAAGCTACCAAAAGGTAAGGAAGCATTTTTGTAAGGACACTATTGTAGTTATGGATAACACACATATGGAGAAAAGATTTGAGGCTTCTAGTTCTGCCACCCACTGGCTGATGTCATATCAAATCAGACCATATTATAACAATTCAAATAGTAGAGAGCAATTGAAAAGAGGGTCACCTTACATGTTTAAGATTAGAGAAGTACTGCTGAGACAGCATCTCCATACCTTAGACATAAAGTCCACAGGAACAAAAAGATTCTAAGTAACTTGGAGAGTAAAATACATGTGGACCAAATTATGAAGGGAGTCTAGTGACTCTGGGTGACAGACTCTTTCCAAAGCCAAATGATTAGTACTTAAGTGTATGCTTGATAGCACAAGGTAGGAGAATGAAGTGTAATTTTTGCATAAGTGAATGAAGATCTTCCGTATCATATTATAAATCAGAGTGGCATGGTTCCCAACACTGCACCATTGTAATGAAAAAAAGAGTTCCTGAGCTTTAAGAATTCTTTCAACTCAAGATCCAGGCTACTAAGATTAAGTGTTGATCCAGGTGAAGCAAAGTACTTGTGAGTGCCAGTTTCAAACTTATTTGGAAGTGTTGTTTGAAGAGCTACATAAAAAAGTGGATGAGCTCAGAGAGGGAGAGGCTGATAGGACAGACAAAAAAACATGAAGTATGGAAGAGAGATTTGGAGAAGAGGAAATGAAAGGAAGGAGATAGAGAACACTGCAGGGAGAAAGAAGGACAAGAAGAAACTGTCAAGGCAATGCAGGAAAAGATGCACTATAATCTATTACAGAAAAGAAAATATAGAACAAAGCCAGAAAGGGAAATAAGTACCGTATTTTCCGGCGTATAAGACGACTGGGCGTATAAGACGACT